CTCTACGTATTCCACGTCGTGTTATTTGTGACTCGCCTAGTTTGTTTGAATTTCATATTTTCTCGGACGCTTCTGAGCGAGCATATGGCGCCTGTTTATATGTGCGTAGTGTTAATGATCAGGGTGAGGTTTTAATTCAATTATTGATGGCGAAAAGTCGTGTCGCGCCGCTTAAACCTATAACAATCCCAAGACTGGAACTTTGTGGTGCACTTGTTGGAGCTCGCCTTTACCAAAAGGTTGTAGCATCGCTGAGACAACAGGCTAAGCGCACTTTCTTTTGGACAGATTCGTCCATCGTGTTAGGATGGTTAAAGGTGTTACCTAGCAAGCTACAACCCTTTGTCAGAAATAGGGTTGCTGAAATATTAGAGAAGACTGGAAATTGCGAGTGGAGGCATGTCCCAACAGAGTGTAATCCGGCCGATCATATTTCTCGCGGTGTGAGTTGTAAGGATATTTCATCCATGAGTAAGTGGTGGTCAGGACCTGAATTTTTAAAGAAAGAGGTCTCTCACTGGCCTGCAAATTTCTTAAGTATTAATCACGAGTTGCCTGAGATTAAATCGTCAAATGTTATCCTCCACGGAATACTTCATTCTAGCAACAATGAAGATTTAGGTGGGAATAAATTAATTGAATTTAAACGCTTTTCTAAATATACTAGATTAAATCGGACCGTTGCTTATGTGCTGCGTTTTATTAATAATTGTAGAAAGCAATCCGTTCACGGTCCTCTAAGCAATCAAGAGTTGCAAACCGCACTCAATGTTATTATAAGAATATCCCAGAGTGAATCATTTGAGGAATACACCATGTTAATTAAAAATAAAAGTTTACCCACTAAAAGTCCGTTGCATAAATTTAATGTATTTCTCGATGATAATAAAATAATGCGTGTTGGAGGGCGTCTTGAAAATTCCGATTACTGTTATGAGAAAAAACATCCCATACTTATACAGTCCACTCATTATTTTACCAAATTGCTCTTCAATTATTATGAGCACATAAGGTTAATGCACGCGGGACCACAGCTAATGTTGGCCACTATAAGAGAGATGTACTGGCCGATTAGAGGTCGTAATTTGGCCAGATCTTGTTATCGACAATGTGTAAGATGTAATAGAATGAAAGGGAAAACCATCTCTCCAATAATGGGCAACCTACCACACCAACGCATCCTTTCTGGTTTTCCATTTCAAAATATTGGACTAGACTATGCGGGACCAATTCAATCTGTTTCTCGCCATGGCCGTGGTTGTAAAATTGTAAAGGTGTATATAGCTATTTTTATTTGCTTCGCGACTAAGTCAATTCATCTTGAATTAGTGGGTGATTTAACTAGCAATACCTTCATATTAGCTTTGCGCAGATTTATGTCTAGAAGAGGGAAACCTCTTAATATTTATTCGGATAATGGTACCTCCTTTGTAGGCGCATACAATGACATTTCAAAATTTATTAGGACGTATTGTAATTCTTTATCTGAGGTAATGGCAAATGAAGGAATTAATTTCCATTTCATACCGCCTTATTCTCCCCATTTTGCTGGGCTTGCGGAGGCTGGTGTCAAATGCATTAAATATCATTTAGTTAGAGTGCTGGGCAATTGTAATGTGACTTACGAGGAACTAAATACCACATTAATACAAATTGAGGCTATACTTAACTCCAGACCACTCACACCTTTGTCAACGAATCCTGAAGACTTGCTACCACTAACGCCCGGTCATTTTTGATTGGACGCCCCTTGACTTCCTTGTCGACACCAGACTATAAAGATCATTCCGTAAGCTCTTTAACCCGATTTCAACGAATAGAACAATTACGTCAACATTTTTGGGCTAGATGGAGCAAGGAATATATATCAGAGCTTCAACTGCGAATGAAATGGCGTTCCTGTAAAGGCTCTTTGAAGTTAAATTCACTGGTACTCCTAAAAGAGGAGAATTCACCGCCATTAAAGTGGAAGATGGGTCGCATCGTCGCAGTCCATCCAGCCTCGGACGGCGTATCAAGGGTGGCGGATATCAAAACATCGACTGGTATAGTTCGCCGATCATTTAGCAAAATTTGTCCGCTTCCTGAACCTGAAGAATCTGGTTGAAAGGTAGACTTTCAACGCCGGGGGGCATGTTGAAGCGCCTGTCAAATTATATTAGCAGTTCTCATGCCAATATTAGTCCGTAAGCTGTGTAGGTATGTTTAAAAAATGTTGTACCTGTCGTCGTTGTAAAATTTAGAGATCAAGTAAAGGTCGATTGAGCAAATTACTGCATTTTACTATTAAAAAGAGATCAAATTCCTATTCAGATTGCATTAATTGTACTTACTTACTTTATCTTAATTTACTTTAAGGCTTAAAGTGCGGTTGAAATGCCTAAATTCTCGGATATTTAAGTAAAAAAAAAATCCCAATAACTGTTCATTTAATTCACAAAGAAAAATAAAGGGTGACAGAAAAGGATTCAATAAATGTTTTTGATTAAACAAAATTGTGTTTTCTCAACCCCTTATTAGAAAAAAATCCCCAAAGAGTACCTATCTTTGTCATATTTTGCAAAATTTCTCCAAAACGGCACAAGCTTTTTAAATAGTTTTTACACTAAAAAAAGGTCTTAAAAATATTAATATTTTAATTCAGAGTATTATTTTTATTCCCCGTTTAACTCGAGAAAATATCATTTTTCCGCGAAATTGAATATATTCGTGCGAGCGTGCATGCTCCGTCGCCCTATAAGCTCTGTCGCAGTCCGCATAGATAATACACTATATACCAGGGATAGATGCGCCACTCACATTTCAGTTTTCGAATGAGTGTACCGTGTTCGCTAGATGCCGCTGTATTATTTAGTACAACGCGGCTTGTGGTAGTTATCACATGGTTACCACTAGATGGCGTATTTTGTCAATGACTATATTGGTAATTATGAACTATGCAGTTTTATTAATAATGTTTCTGTTTATGCATTCTACCAGATAATTATTGGATATCTCCAATGATTATCTTAAATCTTCAAATGGTAATTTTGCAGATGACATTAACACTAATAAAACTTAACCTATTTCAGATAAGATTTTATTTAAATATTAATATCAAACACTGAATAGAATTTTAATTATGTATTTATTTTCTTTTACGAATGTTATAATATTTAATAGCTTGAGTGTTGACATTATTATTTTCACAATCACAAATCAGTAGTTAATAATTTTCCATTTAGCAGCCTGTTAACATTGGTGCATAAACTGGGAACAACCACATTTATTGTTAAATTTAGTAAATAATCATAACGCCTAAATTATGATATTAACACGAGAGGAACGAAAAGTTGCAAAATATTTTCGTTCTCTGAATTATCGTATTGTTACGAGCTTGAGGTTCGAGACAATTAAAAACTGCCGATTGAATTACCAAAATTGACACTTTAATTACACAACACTAATTACAGTCTAAAATCACACTAATAATAAAACAGTTCGCCGTTATTTCGCTTCGAAGTATTCTCTTGTATCGCCAATTCAATACTGCCTCGGTCGTGGTCTATACCGGCCTTATATAGGGCCTCAGATAGTTTCCAGAATCTTCTACTGTAACGACATCTAGAATGTTCGAGTACATATCGGTCCCGAAATTTCTGGAAGGATCTTGACTCTCCTAGTTCTGCTACTCGACACTAGAGGGCGCTAGTGTAACTAGTGTTGCCATGTACAAGACATTAATAGTGGCGCGCAATACTTTCATTTACTCGGCACTAGAGGGCACTAGTGTAACTAGTGTTGCCATGTACAAGACATTAATAGTGGCGCGCAACACTGCCCCCTCCTAAGACATGCTCGTCCCGACCATTATTGGCCCCATAATAACGCGCCAGTCGATCCACATGGACAATCTTAGGAGTACCTCTGGCACCTTTCTGTATCCGGTAGGTTACATCATTGGTCACAATCCGGTACGGTCCGTCCCATTTAGCTTGAAGCTTAGGAGATTTCCCTTTACTGCGAACTGGATTGTGTAACCACACTAGTGAGCCTTCATTAAACCCCTTGTTGTTCATTTTGCGGTCATACCGTGTTTTCATCTTCTCAGACGTTTGCTGGCCCGTCTGTCTGACGTGCTCATAAATGTCATTCATTTTGTTCCGCAAGTCATTTGCATAATCGGTTATACTGCGTGGGGCATCAGGTGGTATTCCGGTGATCAGGTCTGCAGGCAGCCGTAATTCTCTCCCAAAGTTTGCGAAAGCTGGCGTCACTGACGTACTTTCGTGAACAGCGCTTCGATATGACAACAAAAACGGTTGTATGTGCCTGTCCCAGTCTCGTTGCCGTTTTTCCACAACTTTTGCCAGGTACCTTTCCAATGTCTGATTAAATCGTTCTACCATTCCATCAGATTGTGGGTGGTAAGAAGTTGTTCGTGTTTTATGAGTACCCATAACTCTGCAAGTTTCCTGGAATATTTGAGACTCGAAATTCCTTCCTTGATCGCTGTGAATCTCTAAAGGTACTCCAAAACGACAGAAGACTTCATGAACTAGTTTATCTGCAATTGTTGAAGCTTCTTGATTTGGAATGGCGAAGACTTCTGGCCACTTAGTGAAGTAATCCATCACAACCATGAAATACTTGTTACCACTTTCACTTTCCGGAAACGGCCCCGTAACGTCAATGGCTATCCTCTCCCATGGTGCACCAACATTGTACAATTTCAATGCGCCTCTACTACGAATTTGAGGTCCCTTTACAGCCGCACAACTTGTACATTTACGGCACCAGTCCTCGACATCGTCACGACAGTGGACCCAGTAAAACCGTTCTCGGATTTTCAGTAGAGTTTGTTTAACTCCCAGGTGGCCTCCTGAACAACCACTATGGTACAGCTGTAGAACATCCGGTACTTTAGCCTTAGGGACAACCATTTGCAAATGACAACTGTCTCCTCGACCATTTTCCCATTTACGGCACAGGACTCCATCCTGAATCAGCAAGCTGTCCCATTAAGCCCAATAGCTTTTCGTGGTCGAACTCATTGCTGAGACGTCATTCCACTTGGGCTTAGGAGCACTGGCCTTCATCCATTCCAGAATCGGCTTAATATCCGAATCTTCCTGCTGTGCATGTTGTAGGCTGTCCTTCCACTCATTGCTGAGCTGGTCTGTCCTGAGCATCCTCACAGATACCACTTCCTTACACTCTTGCCTAGTACAATGCTTGCAATCTTCAGGGCAAGGTGTTCTTGACAATGCATCTGCATTGCCACGAGATTTCCCGCTGCGATGTTCGATCACAAAGTCGTATTCCTGCAGTAGTTCAATCCATCTCGCAACTTGTACTTCCGGATTTTTGAACTGCAATAGCCATTTCAGTGCAGCATGGTCAGTTCGTAAGTGGAATTTCCGCCCTAGAAGATATTTGCTAAAATGCTGCAAGGACTTTACCACAGCAAGCAATTCGCGTCTTGTGACACAGTAGTTCCTTTCCGGCTTTGACAATGACTTGCTGAAGTACGCTATCACAATCTCTTGGTCACCATTTCGTTGAGACAACACACCGCCAAGTCCTATATCACTTGCGTCTGTGTCAACTATGAATTCCTTGCCCGTATCAGGGTACCCCAAAATAGGTGTTTTGCACAGACGGTTCTTGAGCTCCTGGAATGCAATTTCGCAACTTTCATCCCAGCAGAAATGTCGCTTCTCCTCGGTTAGCTTGTGCAGAGGTTTGGCTATATCTGCAAAGTTCTTCACAAATCGCCGATAATAAGAGCACAAACCCAAAAATGCTCTAATCTGTGTCTTGTCTTTTGGAACCGGCCACTCCTTGACAGCGGCAATTTTTTCTGGATCCGTGCGGATACCTTCTTCCGACACTACATACCCCAAAAAACTAACTGGCCGTTTGAATAGTGAGCACTTCTTTGGACTCAACTTGAGGTTGGCACTCTGGATCTTCATGAGCACGCGTTCCAGGTTTTGAAGGTGTTCCTCAAACGTACGGCCTACGATGATGATGTCATCCAAATAGACCAGATAGGCATCTCTAATTAGCCCGGTAAGTACAAGCTCCATCAATCTTTCAAACGTTGCTGGAGCATTGCACAATCCAAACGGCATGACTTCAAATTGCCACAGACCCTTTCCTGTGGAGAATGCAGTTTTCTCCTTGTCCTTAGGGTCAATTTCAACCTGCCAGTAGCCACTTTTCAGGTCCAGCGTACTAAACCACTTTACGTCTGTGAGCATGTCCAGCGTGTCATCAATTCTAGGCAAGGGATAGCTGTCCTTCTTCGTAACGTCGTTCAGGCGGCGGTAGTCAACACAAAACCGCATGCTGCCGTCCTTCTTCTTTACCAGCACCACAGGTGAACACCATGGACTAGATGAAGGTTCAATAACACCATCCTTCACCATTCCCTCAATCATGGTTTCCACTTCCTTTCCACGTGCTACAGGCAATCTTCTTGGCCGCTGACGAATAGGCAATTCTTGTCCTGTGTTTATTTTGTGTTGAACTAAGTCAGTCTTTCCTATGTCAGCTTCGTTTGACGAGAAAAAATTGGCGTACTTGAGTAACAACTTCTTCGCCTTGATCATTTCATTCGGGGAGAGAACGCTGCGACAGTCTTCTAAAAGTGTGGTCACTCTCGTTTGTCCATCCTTGCTGAGGGTCCCAGTCGATAGATATTGGCACCGACGCAACCAATCCACTCCCTCACTAGTAACAACCAATGTGCCTATTTCTATAATCTGTTCCTGATCACAAAGGTTCAGCACACGTACTCCTGAGATGTCGGCGGTTCTGACCAAGGTTCGAGCCACTATCCATGGAAGGTCTACCCTTTCCACGAGTACACAACGAAGAGTTTGCCCAGGATTCCGAGGAAGTCTAACCGGCACAATCGTTTCCGATCTTGGCGGAAGAACAATCTTCTTAAGGCTGTACACATTCCCTGGTAACGCCCCTTCCATGAAAAGTTCCTCTTGTCCACATTTCAAAACACCTTGTATAACGTCGATCTCACAACAATTCTTCCTCATAAAGTCTAGGCCCAGGATGCAGTCGTCCATTATATCAGCCACGATGACATTATGCAGGTAGGAGATATAGTTGAAGGTAGATGCCTAGCTTCAACTCCATCTCCTTCTCTCCACGGACGGGTATGCGCTGACCAGTGGCTGTCACCAAATTAATGCGTTCTTGGTTGTATGCGGAGTCCCCAAGGAACCGACTTATAAGTTGGGAACTGACAACCGTGCGAGAGGCTCCAGTGTCTATGGTCAGTTTACATGGCGTTCCGTTGACTTCGCCCTTGATGATTAGGCTGTTCCCATCATGGGTTTGTGAGATCGAAATCCTTGGGGCTCTTTTAACATCAGCCAGCACCCGCCAGTTTCCCTGCTGCTGCTGGGCGGTGCTGTTAGCCACACTACCCTCTCGAGATCGATCACCTTCCCTTTCTACAGTTCGTTTAGGGCAGCTGAATCGAAGATGGCCCCTTTCCCCACAGACGTAGCACCTAGGGCTGTAGCCGTTGTTGCGGTCCCGAACTGTAGCTGCTGCAACCTCCCTGACGCGGTGGGAACGATGATCCTGCCGCACGGCTTCCACCTCCAGTGCATGGGTCAAGGCGTCCTTAAGCGTCTCGTGGTGCCCGAGCCTCACAGCAGCTCTGACTTCAAGGTCGCGGATGCCGTCGATGAATATCTGCACCAGGTTCCCTACAATAAGCGCAGGTACAGACTGGTACGCTTTTCGAACCAGCTTCTCCACCTCAAGGGCCCACTGCTGCAGGTTTTCGTTACTGCGTTGCACGCGATCTTTGAGCTGCGCACGAAAGACGTGTTCCAGGTAAGTGTCGCCATATCTCGCCTCCAATGCCTCAAGGAGCTGCTCGTAAGTCACTTCCTTACCGAGAGCTTCCAGAACAGTTAAGGCCTGGTCGCGCAGGCCTAGGGTGAGAGCAGTCATGGCCTGACTTTTATTCCAGCCGTTCGCTTTCATGACAGCCTCGAACTGGATTTTGTAGGCCGACCAGGAAGAAGTCCCGTCGAACGGTGGCACTTTGAATCCACGTAGCGAAGGTGTTGTAGTTACCACGGGAGCTGTAACTCCATCCCCAGTTTTGAGGTCGTTCAGCGTTTTCTTCACGTCAGCCATCACATTGTCAACCCGATTGTACACTTGGTCGATTCGGGTTTCAGCTTCCGACAGGCGGTTGTCATATTGAGCAACCTTATCCTTCACCTCACTTATTTCTTTCCCGAAGGTAGCGTGAAGGTCCTTCATGAGAAGTATCTGCTCTTCCTTATCGCGTTTGAACTGCTCTTCCAACCGACGGCCCTGTTCCTCCTGTTGGCGGGCCTGTTCCTCCTGTCCGCGCTGCAGCTGCTCTTCCAGCCGCCAAGCCTGTTCCTCCTGTCGGCGGGCTTGTTCCTCCTGTCGGCGGGCCTGTTCCTCCTGTCGGCGAGCCTGTTCCTGCAGCATCATCATCAGAGTACCTAAGTCAGGTGCTGCAGATGCAGGAGCTGCTGACGGGACGGCCTCTGTGGTCGGCAACTGGCCTGCCGACGTCTGTGACGTTGCACCACCAAATCGTCTCTGGTCCGTCTCCTGTTGGCGTTGACTTCGGGTACGGATACCCTCGGTGTCGTCTTTAGGTAAAATCGGCATATTTGATCCCACTTCTGACACCAATTGTTACGAGCTTGGGGTTCGAGACAATTAAAATCTGCCGATTGAATTACCAAAATTGACACTTCTTACACAACACTAATTACAGTCTAAAATCACACTAATAATAAAACAGTTCGCAGTTATTTCGCTTCGAAGTATTCTCTTGTATCGCCAATTCAATACTGCCTCGGTCGTGGTCTATACCGGCCTTATATAGGGCCTCAGATAGTTTCCAGAATCTTCTACTGTAGCGACATCTAGAATGTTCGAGTACATATCGGTCCCGAAATTTCTGGAAGGATCTTGACTCTCCTAGTTCTGCTACTCGACACTAGAGGGCGCTAGTGTAACTAGTGTTGCCATGTACAAGACATTAATAGTGGCGCGCAATACTTTCATTTACTCGGCACTAGAGGGCACTAGTGTAACTAGTGTTGCCATGTACAAGACATTAATAGTGGCGCGCAACAGTATCAATAATATTCGTATTTATTAGAAAGAACTGTCAACCGAGTGTGTCAACCATAACCATAGACCAAAACTGCCATAGATTTAGGTTTTTTTTGGCTTTGGATTCTGGTTTTGGCTAAATTAACGCCATCTATACAACGCTGAATAAAACTAGCCTACAAGTTTATGTACCTAGTTCACTAGAGGGCAGAACTTTCAATGCATTTTTATTCTTGTAAATTTGTATGGCAGTTTCATCCTGGCAGTCCATTTTCGGACATCGTTGAGGGTGGACGGTGGTGTTGGAGCGACTTCGTTCAAATATATTTTATTTTTTTAAAAGTTTATACTCAATCATAAATATTTTTATGACTAGAAATACTTCATTTAGTTAATATCTGTACACTGGTAACTACAGATATGTATGTAAATATTGTTTTCTAAAAAAATTCATTTTTAGAATTTTCGCCGCGAATTTGATTAATGAAATTGAAAAATGCATTTTTATATAATTTAGATGTGGAACGACCAACATTCTCCCATTACTTAGATTTCGATAGTTTTTAATACCTACGTAGTTTTATTATTGCATATTTTTATTGAATTGATATGAAAGTTGGTACTGAATTTTATAATTATATATTACAATAAAACGCTGTTTTTATGAGTATGACATTAATAGAATATTATTCGGGAGGGAAATATAGATACAGATACTTAAATTCAGGTACACTGTTATCAAATTAAATCAAACACTTTAAATAAATTAAAAATGGTGCTTTCCTAAGTGCTATATAAAGACATACTTAGGTTTATAGTTTTTTATTTTTTATTTTAGACAAACTATCATAAAAAAATGGAAAAATTTTAATTTGGAGAGGAGATTCTCTACCTAATAAAGTTAGAAATTAAGATTTTCGCAGTAGAACCAGAGTAACTGACATAGCTGAACGGATTATTAAAGTGAAATAGCAATTGGCTGGCTATATAACTTGAAAAACCGATAAACAATAGGAAGAAAGGTTCTCGAGTGGCAACCTCGTACTGGTAAGCGAAGTGCAGAGCAGCCTCGCACTATATGGAGGGACGACATGGTAAGATGACCATGCTTTGTGGCATTCCTTGGGACGGCCTCTATCTATATATATAGGCCTTGTTATGGCTGTAATGATGATGATAGAGCCATGCTGCAGCTATATTAGTAGTAAGTATAGTTGTAGCACGAATGGGTCGGTTCGACCGGGGAAGGACCACGCTCTCACAGAGTACCATTGTAAAATAGCAGCTTAACACTGCTGTGGTTCGTATAGTGAGTGTAGAGAACCGGAGACCCTTTTTACTGGAAACTAGGCATTACATTTTAGACTTTACGGGTGACAACGCATCTGCAATTTGACTCGTAATCGAGAATAGATGTAGATGTCTATGGGCCGTAGCAACCACTTACCATCAGGTGGACTGTGTGCTCGTTTGTCACCCTTATTCTATAAAAAAACTATCTGAGATTTCAGTAAAATAATGTTGAGTATTGTAAATACTCGTATAATTATGTGTCACATGTTAATAAAGCTATTGGGCTATTTTGATTTTTTATAAAGTGATTTTACTTTGGGTTAAATAGTAAATAATTGCCCTTCTAGGTATATCAAGAAGCGTTTTTTCTGTCACTCCTATTGAATTTGACAGTGCTTGCTGAAATTTAGCGTCTTTAGGCGGATCTGAATCGCGCGCTGACCCGGCTGTTAGATATTGCAAAAATAATTGAAAATATTTATTTTACTTTCATGCCGAAGACTGATTTGTGTTATTTTATTACAGTCAAATAATATTTAAAATGGTTTTAAAGCAAGTATTTACAAATGTTTTCATTATTTTGTTATTCTATTGTTAACAGTTATTATCACATCTTAGCTTACATTAGAAATTCTTGGTGGGATGCGATGTAACGCGGATACCTTATTTTCGTTAAGAACTATAATAAATTTCAATATTTATTTATTTATTTTAACTTCATATACTTATGTTGTGGTATATAGGCGGACTTAATGCCTAAGGCATTCTCTACCAGTCGACCTTGGGATGATACAGAGATAGAATGGAGTAGGTGTATGAAAAGTTTATATGCGAATACTAAACTAAAATAACAAAAAAAATTGGAATACTTGGAAATAAAATACATAAGATATAAATCGTACATCACAAAAAATAAAAATATATCTTAGCTAATTTTTACGAGGTTTCATCAGCACCATTCTTAATTTTGGATAAAACAAACCTTATCAATTTCAAAGAAACACGACTCAGTTCATATTGAAAGAAATGCTCGTCATTACAAGATTTCTATGTGGAACATAATTACATAATTAAATTAATTCGAGACTAAAATAAAAGTAAAGGGGCTTTTATCTGCAATAATAATTTTCATCAAAAATAACATAGACTTATAAAAGTCATACACACGGTCAATCATACTGAAGATGATTAATTATACTACAAAATATTTAAAAGATTTATTTCAGTATAATGACCCAAATATCATCATTAACTTTTGACTATCACACTTAAAAGTTTTATCAGATAGCTAGATGATTGACTTTTATATTATGATAAGGTCATGCTTTTCTATAAAATGGTGCAAACAATTTTAAATCACGGACCTATTGGTTTGTTTTACTATTCACTTAATTAGTGAAAAACAAGATGGACTGATCTAAAAGTTTACTTTCTTATGTAAAAAGTGCTATTTAGAATTTTATGCAAATGATAATTAATGTTTCTATGTAAACAAGTGTAACATAGCAGGTATTAAATTCATTGGTAGCGGCCATCCATATTTGGAACAGTTTTCTGCAGCACTACGCCTACGAATTATTTCAAGTAATATATAGCAAAGTCAGCACCATTTTCTGTACAGAAACCGGTAAAGTGTTGCTCAAGCCACTATGAATAAAGCAGCTGATAAAAATGTTACACTCATAACTGTTAACAAAAATTGTTACTGCAAATGGTCTTATAGATAATAACTACTCCGCCGTGTCAGGTGCAGGAGCTATTATTAGAAGTAGAAGAGGTAAAATTTTGTTTTTTCTGCAATTGTTCGGCATTATACTCAGTGCCATCAATTGCTATGGCAAAATAATTTTACCAGGTTTCAAAAAATCAATTAAAATTCAACAAAAAATATTATATCAAAAAATGTATATTTGTATGTCTTTACATACATATAAATATTTATGCCCACTTATACTCACGTGAGTCAGTATAACATCCTACAGCCACGCCGAAACTAAGAGGAGAGAATCACTGTAGAAAAGGTAATAATTTATTGCGGAAATTTTGTAATAAAACTAAAAAAATTACAAGCTTATCCAAGATACCACATGCGTTACAAAAAAAAAGAAATAATAAAATAATGAGATGGCGTCAGTTTTTAAGAAGATATTATAACAAAAAGAAACAAAAAAATAAATTTCAAAAAAGTTCAAGATCTAATTGACAATATACAGCTGACACTTAATCACGCTTTTAGAAACCACGCTAGTTGTAAACAATACTTGTGAAAAATGGTATACACCACACCTATTGTGGACAAAATCTTTCTTTTCAAATTTCCGCCGAGTTGTAAGTAGAAGGCCAAATAGGTCATGTGTCAATTTTAAATAAGTATATTTTATATGAAGTGATCTTGACTACGTTTCATCAATTAACCATTGGTATAAATGAAAACAAGAATTTTACAATTGTGTTTACAAGAAACACTATTAGTTGAAACCTGCAACTTGTACATTATTTTTATTATAGATACCTATAAATTATTTATTAACAAATAATTCCCATAATATTTTGTATTATTTTTTATTTTGCCCTATCTGAAACGTTCTATGATCTATAGAAAATGTGGCATATGAAATAACTGACAATTTCTCGAACATTTTATCTAGGTACAAAGATGTTTTACGTTTCCGTGGCCTCTACATGATATTTTTGTCACCATTAGGTACCATTTACATATTCCATCATACATGCTATTATAT